GAAGGAGCTGTATAAAAGCCATATATTTTTACTGTTGGCATAAATTCACTTGCCTAATATTTCAACTAGAATTAAACAGCACAAACATTCCTCCCTATACAAAACATATGTATGTATACTATATTCTTATGCTCTTATGCCTACCATGTGGATGGTTTCAGGTGAGCAGAGCCACTGCATTACAATTTTCTCTCTTTGAGAGAAATTGAGCTATTTGAGCTAAGAGGAAATAATGGACTGCCAGGGAGCTGCGGCTGAGATGTGTGCCACTACAGGACAGCTAACATCTGCAGCCCCAGGGATGGCAGCACTGCCCTTGCTATTTAAATATCAGTGTTTGACTACACACTGGAGGAAGGATTCAGTATTGATAACATCTGCCTTGAATCTTGTGAGGATGAACAGGAGGAACAGTACAGAGGAAGCAACACTGCTGTTGGGCTTACTCAGCGTTCAAGTGGTTACCAAAACTGTGGCTGCTGCAAGGCTGTTGGATGATCGGCACGAGACAAGTTTGGTGTTTGAATGCAGTTTTCAGTGGGAAGTTTGTATTTCATAAAACATGCAACTAATTTGTACCTGCTGGGCTGCCTGTTTGGCAGCTGGGAAGAGGCCAAAGATTAAATGCTTTTCAAAGATGAATTCACTTTTTATCCATACTGTTAGGGGAGGAGAGTGACAGGGAAGAAGTGCGTGGTTTTGTCCAAGCTGTTCTGTTCCTGCCTGTTCAGTATATCTGAAGGATCCCTTGGAGGATGCAAGATAGCCATGGTGCAGTGCTGCCAGCTCTCCTTGTCCAGGGTAAATATGATGTAAAGCTGATGGATCTGTGGGAGCTGCTTCTGTGCCAGCAGTGAAATGAATAGCAGGTAAAAAGTTCTCCTTGGTTTGAGCTGACCTGCCATGGAGCCCTGGAGGTCTCTGCACCGTGCTCTCCATGATTCATGTTTCTGGGCATATAGAGCTGAGACATGTCTGCTGGGCTGATTTGCTGGGGTTCTGTGCTCAACCAAAGCAGCTGAAACTTTTCTAGCCTGGAAATGGCCCTCAAAGAATTAAAAGACCTGTTTGAATGGGGATTTGTCTGAGCTAATGAATCCTGTTGCACCTGAACTGGCTGTATGCCTGGCCCTGGAAGCAGGAGGCGAGTGCATGCATACCTGCTGCTTGTAACAGGAAGGATTTTTTTCCTTTGTAGTACTTGGAACATGTACTCTCAGGTCCCTCCTTGCCCCTCTTTGCACATGTATACAAGGCAGAGCACACCCACCACTATGTGTTTTTCCCATTTGCCGAGCAAGGAAGGAGTTGTGCCTGGGCTAGCATTGTGTCTGTACCATGCTGTGGTTTCTTCACAGCATGGATAAACCATCTGAAAGAAGAAAAAAAAAAAAATCAAAACAAATTGTTTGCATAGTTGTTGCCCTAATAAAACAATCCTTCTTTTGCGTGTGAGTTCATGTTAAAGGCAGGGCTGTATGCAGCTGGTGCCTTAAAATAATAGAACAAAAAAACCCAAAATAAAATCAATAGATGAATGGAGAGAAGCTAAGAGTTATCAGGAACAAAGCGTACTCCCCTAAAACACTGATCTTGGGTTGCTCTGTTTTGTTCTTTGCTGTGTTCAGTGCACGTAGGTCCCAGTCACAAGCTTAAGAATATGCCTACCCCAGAGAAACTTGCTGCCCTGGTGCCAGTTGTTCCCACTGCTGTCCTACCCCACTGGAGGGGTTCTGTGGCCAATGTGCAGCATACCAGGTCTGCTGCTGATGTGCAGATGTGCTACTAACTCAGGTAATGGTTTAATGTGAGTCATTTAGAAGTTTAGCATCAATGTGTACAACATCAAAATTAGTTTAGTAGCCACTGTCCTGTAAAACAGTTTGAATCTGCCCAGAAGCTACTGCATGAAGGTAAAATGTGTCAGTTATTGCCTAGGTCATGGGGATAGCAATGATATTGTGCATATACTGGTGCAGTGACTCGGCTCTTGAAGGCTTGGTTTTTCTTTTATCCTTCCAAAACTTGCTTTCACTCATTGACAAATCAGTATTCAGCCAGTGGCTATACACAAAGTCTGTTACTTGAAACAGGAAAGAATTGTTCTTTATAGCATATGTAACATACTTGCACTTGTTATTATCACTCAGTACATAGGTATATGAGGCAGACTATGCTTATTACCCTTTCAATTTCTCACCTGAAGAAAACATGCTCCATCAATTTACTTTACAGAATCCACCTGCTTTCCTGGTGCCTGGCTATCTTTAGTCATAACCTAGAGATAAACACTACTTTGTGTCCTGCAGGTTGCTATCTGTGATAATAGTCTTTGCAGCAGTGATTTCAAGTGAAATCCTTCCACCTTGACCCAGCTGTGGTAAAAGATACTGCCAGTGGTTCCCTATTGCAGGTATTTTCATCATCTTGTGGAAGATTGCAGATCAGCCACAGCAGCATCTGCTGACCCCTCAGATCTTGCCCCAAGAAGGTACAGAAGCTCCTTCTGGAGGAGGTCTTGTCTTTCCATCACTGGTGCCAGTGAGCTAGGTGCCAAATGCAAGTGCTCACCTCAGCAGCAGCATAGTGTCCATTTTCTGGTATAGTTCCAGCTCAGTCAAAAAGGACCTAGTGCCTCTCCTCTGCCCAGGCCATTAGCTTTTCCTGTTAGTGTTTGTGGCTCCTGCTTCTGACTTCCAATGAGGGTGCTAGACTAGACAAAGTAGCACAGACAGCATCTGTGACACCTTAATTCCTGCTGTCAGTCAACACTTGGCAGTGCAGCACTTTGTCTTTTATTGAGCTTCTTTCGCAGTTTTGAATGATAACACTGATTTATGCAACTTCCAAACCTCTTGGATGCTATGTGTCGTTGGACTGTGGGGGCTGCTGAAGAGATACCTCCCATTTGGTCATTCATACTCTGTACTGAATGTCCTGTTTTGTTTGTGTTTTCCCTCTGGATGATGGGAATGGGAAGCATCCTCATCTCAAATGCTGTCATATCCAGTCGTATTTCATTTCTGAAGCATTCACTGGTGCATTCACTGTGAAGGCATTACTAAATAGGTGGCAAGATAAGAAAACCAGAATTATTTGAGTGCATTACTCAACTGTATTCCTTTAATGTACTTTTTAATATAGTATAATGGATGACCTCCAGGGTGTTAACTTGTGGGTGGTAGAGCAAACCTGGCATAAGAAAAGCTTGGGAGATGGGAGGTTGCAGCCCTTGACATGCAGTCCTTAGATCTCTTTTCTAAGAGTGTGGGAAGACAACCACAGTAATGTAGGCTGTCCAGCAAAAGTCAAGGTATGAGATAGGCCAAGGAGAGGACTGTGGCATAGTGCCATTAGAGGTCACAACAACCTACTACTGTTGCAGCAGACTTAGGGAAATAGCATTCCTGCTGGAGAGGGAACCTGCTGCCAATGCATCAAAAGAAATTCTTCAGATGAAGGAAAATTAAACAAAACCACTATTTTGTTAGCCAAGTAAGTTGCTTTTGCCTTACAAATTGCCTCTTTCCTTACTTTAGTCCAAAATATGATCTTCTGAAAGTAATCACATTTCCCAGCTTGTAATATTTGGCAGGGGCTGCCAGTAATGCCATGTCAAAAACTTCCCCAAATCTCAAAGTAACCATCTAGTTCAAAGCTGTTTGGCACACGGACTGCCTTGGGCTCATGTGTTCATCGATATCCTTGTCCTGTACTTTTTGCAGAGGGCCATAATAAACAAGAACAGAACTCTTTATTTGAAAGGGACTCTCCAAACTGTGCTCATTACAGTAAGTAGCGTCTATCAGGAAGACTATTTAAGTTCACTGTAAGCAATCACTTGATGTCTGTCTTCTTAATGTTCCTGTGTCATAACTGAAGCTCAGAAAAGCCGTATTCAAAATCAGGAATGGGAAGTGATTGAAAGTCCATGTGGATCCAGAAGGGTTCCAGGCTCAAAAAAGAGAATGACTAAGGGTTGCCAGATATATAGAAGCTATAGCTGACACATTAAATCCCTGATGTGAAAATAATTTAGTAGTAAAAGACAATTTCAGGGAAATATTATGTCTATTTGCATTATTCTTGTGCTTCTCTTAGTCATCTGTTTAAGGCCACAGTTAGAGTCAGAATTTGGAGACAGATGGACTTCTTGTCAGACCAAGTACATTCTGAATTTACTGGTGCATTTGTAAATCCAGGCTAGGCAAAGCATTGCTGCTTCTTGGCCCTGGTCGTAAAGGAGTTTGGATCTTTATGGGATAGGGAGGTGGAAAAATCAGGGACAAAGGACAAAATCTAAAAGGAAGCAGACTCAAAAATTTCCAGTCAATAGAATTATTTATGTCTAATCATTGTGCTTCTACAATTTAATATATTTAATTTGTGTGTGTGTCTGCGCTTGCATAACTTACACCATCTGGCTGCTGCAGTGTTCATGGGGTATCAGAGTAGCTGTAGTTCAATGGGCATTTCTTTAAGCAGTTGTGATGATTTAATTGGATTCTGCCATGAAGAAAGGCAGACTGAGGAACTGAACCTAAACTAAAAGTAACCCAGGAAGATAAAAAGCATCAGCTTTAACCTGGTTCTGTTCCTGCATCCAGTTCACTGCCCAATGGCATAAAAGCTTGTCTGAAAGCAACCATTGACAGTGATACTGTTTTTTTTCATGTCTGAATTGTTTGTGAAAATGCAGTCTCATGGAAGTGCATATTAAACCACTGCCTTAAACTGTACTATGTTTGTTTCCTGTCATACTTTCTGTGCAAGGTATTTGCTCGCTGCATCAGAATTTGGCACATAACACGTTTCAGCAGTTGCAGCCAGCGTATGAAAGTCAGAGAAAATGGGAATATGCAAGTTGAAGTGTACATTCCTAATGTGGACTTTATTTCAGTTCCTCCAAGTTACAGCTTCAGATGCTTTACATCACTTTGGTTTTCATTTTCCATTAAAAGCAAGAACTTGTTCCTAATGTCTCCTTCCTTTCTCCCCAGATAATCTGATCAAAGCCATCCTGTCAGCAACCAAAGATTACCGTCTAACTCCAGCTCTTGACAGGTAAGATGAGACCTTCTAATGTAGGAGGAAAAGTGATTATTTTCCACATGTCCTAAATAATTTTTACTAGATATTTTTGCCAGAAATTATTGCCAATAAATTTGGCCGTGCTTTGGAGGTACATCAGGAGCTGGAAACTTGAGTCTTCTTTACAGTAAATCTGTAAACTCTAGAGACCTCCGTTAAGCCAAACATGAGTAGAAAAAAGCATGTACCTTTTGATTATTTCTAAATCTTTTGTTTCATATGGTGTTACAATACATCCTCTTGACCCTTTTTCAAATAAGTAAATAACAGGTTTCAATAAACACAGCATTCTCTTTCAGCCTTTCTGACAAAGCAAGAGGATTACAGGAAACTCTTAAGGGAAAGAAGGGACTGGCTGGTTTTAACAATGTTCTTCACTAATACCTTGCGCTTAAAGCAGGAATGTGTGATTACGTTGACCAAGCCTATGCCAGGATGCAACAGCAGTCTTCTGAGTCGTGTGGTATTTGAATTGACGTCTTTAGAAGAGACTCCTTTGATTCTTCAGTCCTATTGTAGACATTATTTCCAAAGCTCACTGGCAGGTTCACAATCAGCTTCCCAATGATAGTCTTTCCTATCTTTGCTTTTCTGTCATCCCTTCCCTTTGCCTTGCAGTTTTGGTTTAGAGCCACTTCCTGGATTAGAGGTAGTTTCTTTCAGACGCTGTCAAAGTTTTCTACTGGATCATGATCTCTTTCCAAAGTCCTGCCACTGTTTCTTTCCAAGCAGTTGTACTTCTCTGAACCCGGGTTAACAGCACAGTTCCTGCTTTCTAAACACACCGGGTTTATTTTTTGCCCCAGCTCCCCCTCTGCCCATTTTTCTGTGACAAAATTAATAAGCTTTTCCAGCCTTTCCATATTCCATAGCTCTCTGCATCTCTCATGTTGATTGTAGAGCTTGCCTGCTGTAGTTAGAGTTGGGAGTTACTCTCTATGTGAAAGTTTATTAATAGTGTTTTGCAGTCTGTGTGCTAATTTAGGTTGCTTTGAAGTTTGCCTTGCCTCACAGCAGTGCCAGATAGGGTTAGCCTTCAGAGTTTGCATTAATTCGAGAAATGATGTCCAGGAGGCAAAATCATTTTACAAATTACCTTCTCAGAGATTTTGCGCGCAACTGAGTCTCACCCATCTGGGGTTTATTGTGGCTCTGGTTGGAGAGTTAAGATTTTAATCTGTTGAAAAATCCACATATAGACTCATTCAGAAGGTTGCTCATGGGAAATTAGTTTAATGACAGAGGGCAGGTAGAAGATTGTTGCAGGGAATGTTAATGTAATTGTGACCCATACAGCTCACCTGTTCTTTCAGGAGTGGAATGTTTGGGTGGTTTTAAAAGTAATTTCTCAGGAGGTTGTGAAACACAGCCACTCTCGCATGAGCTATTCACTTTGGTTTTACATTCTTTATAATGGTTTTGGTGCAGAGGTACGAGCACTCAAGCTTTCATGAGACATATGCAAAGTCCCCTAGATATCAAATATGAAAAAGACCTAAGCAACAGACTTGAAATGTGTTTCTATAGTGTTGCAGTAACAAGGTTTGATGGTGTGTAAACACACAAATATCTTGCAGAAGTACTGTTTTCTTGGGAATTTTTGTGATAAATGCAAAGCAGTGGATGTTGGTTGTGTAGTACACGTGTCTCACAGTCAGGTACTACCCAGAGCCCTTCCAAGTGAGCAGGTCTTAGGAAAGGTAAAAATTTAAGCTCATGTGGGAGAAAGGGACTAGAAAGACTTGGGATAGCAAGCCACAAAGTGAGATCATAAAGCAGTAGGTGGATGAAGTTGCAAGAGTGGGGTTATTACAAGGGAGCTTGGGTACTGCAGGAGGTGTTAAGGTTACAACAGAGCTGCTCTTGGAAACCTGCTTAGTGAGTAGGGCATAGCTGAAGACGACTTGGGTGTTCTCTCAGCCTTGATCGTCAATGAATTACAGTGCTGGCAGCAATGGTTATCTGCCATTTTGGATTCCGGAAGAGCTGATAAAGCAGACTGATGAGGGAGAGTTAGCTGCTTTCTCCTCTCAAACTCAAAGCAGAGCCCAGCAGTTCCTCTCTGTGGCAGCATCAGTGTGCTGGGAGCAGGGCCTTAAGGTTTGGCTCACTCCCTTACTGCTCACTAATCAAGGAGAAAGTCCAGACCTCTCCCCTTTGCTCACTACCCTGGGGCAAATGGAGAGGGCCTGACTTAAGGGACCTTTACAAGTCCCTTCCAACCTAAACCATTCTATGACTAAGGGCTGAAAAAATGTCTTACTGTTGAGTTACGTAATATATGCAGCTAAAGTCTGTGAGATACAAGGGGTCAGACTTAGGAGAACTTGTGAACCCTTCTGCTTGCAGGCTCTCAGAAGTCTAATGGGCTAATTCTAGCAGTAGGGAAGAAGCTTCACCTTCTCTTCAGGATGGAGTTACACCAATATTTTCTCTAGGGCAAAGCCAGTCTAAGAAGCTGTATTTGCTGCTACTCTCAGACTGTAGCTCGCTACCATCTCCTTGTGCTGCTGCTATTGTTCAAAGAAGAGCTTTAAAGTGGGTCACTGAAACAATTCTGGTTCAAAAGTTTTTTTCTTAATCCAGGTCATTCCAGTGACCTCATTGACAGAGCTCTCCTCCCACTGAAGAGCTGCGCTGGCACAGCTCTGTGACCGCAGCTCAAGAGGCAGAGGGATGGGGATGGGTGGGGAGGGTGAGTGCTGCTGAGCCCACTGAAACAAGTGTTCACGTAACTGTACACTGAATTCAGCTTTCCCTGGGGAAGGGTGGGAGAGGCAGGAGAGGTGAGGTCAGAGCAGTGCTTGAGAGGACAGGAAGGAAAAAGGGGATTAGAGTTGTGTGGTGGATGATCTACACCAACCCTTTGGTCTTGTCCCCACCCAACCTTCTCCATTTCTGTTCTCCTTCACAAAGCTGTTCCTTGAGATGTTACCTTCACTTGCTTCCTATAAGCCCTGGAAATGAACTTTGTTTGATTATCCCTGTATTAGAAGGGCATCTTGATGCACCTTCCCTGACACAATGTACCGACATGGTGCTGAAATGAGGTAAACGCAATCCTTCCGGGTACGTGTATACATTTCATCATCCCAAAACAGCTTTGCCAACTCACTCCAACTAATCCCTCCATTGTGAGTAGAGTTGTGTTAATAACTAGGAGCAGCTGGAGGGCATGTGAACAAATGCCCTCACGCCTGTAACGTGGTATAAGTGATGTCATGCTTTCTTAGTTTTCTTCATGATTCCTTACTGTGGCCCCTTTGTGTTGAATTGTTTATAGTAACCCGCTCCTCCTCCAAGGCAGGAGGCAGGTAAAGCTGCGGTTGTGATTGTGAGGGTAGTTGCAACTTAGCTCTGGGCTTTTCTGCAAAAGATTGGAGATCGAGGGGCCTTGCTCAGGAATCAGTGTTCTCTTCCTTCAGAGCTGGCATGTCTTTCTCCCTGACGCAGATGTTGGTTTGCCTCTTCTTTGACATGTCAAGAGTTTTCTTGCCCTCTGTTGACTTTTCCAAGCCCATTTATATCACTGACATTTTCATTGCTTGCTTTGGTGGCTCCTCCAGTGGCCTGCTTCTCATTGTGCAAATTGACCAGGGCTTGGTTTCTAGTTCCACAGTGGCTCTGCTGGCTGGACTTAAGTGGATTTTTGGGTTAAATGCCTGCAGTGATAATCTGTAAATTTTCTATGAATACAAAGAAATATAAAAACCTGATTGACCGTTTTGTATTGCCTCTTGGCAGTGATGGAAAGCTGAGACTTTGAGCTTATAAGTAACACAGTCTTTACTAATGCAATACGTAAACTAACAGATGAAGAAGGAATTTGGTAGAGCAGGAGAGGTGTGAGTGTCCCTCTGGCTCAGGTTGTAGAGAGTTAAAGTAACAGCAGCCAGATCAAACCAGAATATGCTAAGCCTCCCTAAGCACCAATTACCCAAAGATGTATGTTTTAATTATTCTATCTTTCCTCAAAGTCTTTAGTTCCAAAGTTGTGTAATGGAAGGCTTTGTGGTTTTTCTCCCCTGAGAAATCCCTGAAGTGCTTTGATAAGAGGGAAAGAGGAAGTAGCAATTGCTATAATGCGTACATGTGTTTACAGTGCTATATTGTTCAAGAAGATCTTTGTGAATCCTGGTTTTGGTGTAGATGAACACAGCCTCTGAGCACCTGTGTCAAGAGGCTGTACATCTGGTTACAGCTTCCAGCTTAGGGCTTTAGGGAAAGTCTGCCTGGTGAGGAAAGTCTGTTACCCTCCTTCATACCACCCTGGTAGCAAACTGGAACCTGGGCTGTGTCGAGTGTGTTCAGTCATTGAATTCTTCTGAAAAAGAAATACAGCTTTGACATACTACATAAAGAAACAAAAAGGTGTTTGCACACTTCTTTGTGGTGAAACAATTGAGCTGTAACTGATGCTGCTTGCACGTCGTGTTTCTTCAGCCAGAAACTTGCCTGGAGGCAGCAGTGACAGTAGCAAGTTTCCTATGCTCGGGCACCATCAGTCAGTGCTGTGAAGGAGCACAGCTACGCTGGTGCAAAGCCTCCAAACTTCTGGCTGGGATGTGAGGTCAGGTGCCTGATGTCCCTGCCGAATGCTTCCCTTTCACAGTCCCACCAGCGTGGCCCTGCAATCTCCTCCCTTTCTTGCAGTGTGGTTGCCAAAGCTGGTGAGACCAAGCTCACCTTTCTGCCTATCTTGATCAAAACAGTCCTGGCTGCCCAGACATGATGCACATGCCTGATGTGCAGAATCCAGGCAAAGTCCAAGACTCACCGTATCTTCGTCACACGCATTTGAAGAAAGCAATCTGTGCCTGAGTACTGCCTTCTGAGTGTGCAACAGAAACTGCCAGCTTTGTGATGAGAGTGGGCAGAGTGCTTCTGAAGGAAAATTAAGAAAAAGCTGCTAGAATATTTAAGATTAGACCTCAGTGTCAAAAAGATACTAGTGAAAAATCTTGTCTGCAGACTTAAAAAGGAGGACACGTTTATATGCTTCAACACTATGAGGGTATGAGACTGAGACACTGGAACAGGTTTCCTAGAAAAGCTGTGGCTGCTCCATCCCTGGCAGTGTTCAAGGCCAGGTTGGATGGGGCTTTGAGCAACCTGGTCTAGTGGGAGGTGACCCTGCCCATGGCAGGGAATTTGGACTGAATGAGCTTTAAGATCTTTTTCAGCCCAAACTATTCTATGATTTTATGAGCGATTCAGACATGAAGCTGGGCAGAGGTGAATAACCTATCAGTTATGCTGAGTAAAGGCTGAACTATTCAGTTAAGTATCATTTTGGGGAGGTAAATATAGAAAGGTGTCCTGTTTTACAGCAAGAATTAAATACTTTGTGCATTTTTGTTAGTAACTGTGAAGATGCTTTTTCCATGTCTTTTTAAATTAATAAGCACTGAGGAGTATTTAACAAGTTAAATAATTATTTTTGTTATTACTGTTTGCTTTTTAACTCTTCTTGGAATATTTGGTATAACACCAAATGTTGTGCCATTCCTGGAGAACCATGGGAGATGACAAAGAGGTGGCTGTAAGTTGATTAGCCCTGTTTTGCAGGAAAAATCCTGGAAAGTTAGATCTGGGACGTAGCCAGGATGGCAGTATAACTGATGCGAGTTATCTTGGGTGTTGTGGAAATGAAATTTTGTCATGTAAAGGATGTATCTTTTGGATGAACTAAAAGCTTGATTGGTAAGGGTAACCTTCTAAAGATTGGTATTAATTAGTTTTCTCAGTCCATTATATTCTGATTATACACAACACCTATGTGTAGGTTATGTCTTTGCTGTAGACATATCCTTTTTAAGAGTGGGATATGTCATACAGCTTTAAAAAGTTACTGTCAGGGTTGAGAATTAATCCCTTAGTGACACTTCCAGTGTAATCCTGCTGGCAGGTGTTCACAGTGGTTAAAACCAATCCGGAGGAAATGTAAAATCACAGTGGGAAAATTTGCCAGAGCCAGATACTGGGGAAGTAAGGAATAGGAGAGCCAGGTCAGTCTAGACCTTTTCATAGGGCCCTTCTCTGAACAGTCCTTTACTGGAGCCAAATCAGAAGTCAGGCATCTCAGAAGTGACAGTGCAGATCATGCTTACAAGGTGAGGATTATATTCTGCAAACCAGTGACTATAAAAAGAGCACTGGAATGATGTACATAAAATCTCTGTGTAAAAGGGACCCTGCTTTGAGCAGCATTAGCTCCTCATGCTGGTCTCCCAGAGTCAGTGCTTTGGAGATCTGGGGAGAAGATGAAGACGGTTCAGAGAGGTGCTGCAAATGTGAGTCAAGATCTAGGAGAGCTGCCATACCCTAAAAGATGTGATGAGCTCTCTCTGGTTTGTGTGGTCAAGAGAAAATTATGAATGGGCTTTGATCAGTACATGTGGGAACAGGCTGCTGGAACAGCTTTGGCTGGTGGAACTGGTTCTTCTGTCTTGTGTGTAGCGGCTCATGATCACCAGTCTGCCCTGTGACTGATTATCCACCTAGAGGCAGATGTTTACACACTGGTTTGTCGGTGGATCACATGCAGATGTGGAAGGGACTACTAACAGTAGATGGTGCTTTAATTTAGCAGAAAAGGGAAGAATGCGATTAAGTGGTTTGAGGCTGAAACAAACACATCTGTATTGAAAGTTGGTTAGAGCTAGCATCCTAACAGTAAGTGGAAAGGGGTAGAAGGGAGTGTCTATAGCCTTTGGATTTTAGCATGGTGGTATTCTTCAACATGTAGCATTAAAAAAGTTATGGCTTAGAGACAACTGAGTAGAGAAATTACAGTATTTCACCCAAAGGAGAGGTTTGTTGTTTAGGAGGTCAAACTTTATCGTAATCATCAGAAGAGTGTATTTGCAGATGAAATTTCACTTGGCCAGAACTGAACTATGTCTTTTTTCCCTCCATACAGCACTTTTTCCTCGAAGGAGGAAATGTAAAATTACAGTAGGGTTTTGACAAAAATGTTTACATCTTTGTCACTCAATTGGGTGCACTTGGGGATGACTTTTCCCTTCTTAACACAATATTCCACTTGATCCAGATCGTGTCTCTGCTTTCTCCTTGTTGCCAGAACAGTGTTTTGTTTTGTTTTTTTTTTATTGTGCCATTGTCTATAAAGTTCTTTCTCTATTGTGATTTTATTATCGCAAACATCCACCCTTCTTTGGCCCCTAGGGACATGAACACTGGGTTAGCATGTCCGTCTTCTTGAGGAGTTTTTTTCTTTTGGAAAGGTTGGGAACTGCAGTGAAACTTAATCTGGGCTAGGGAAGCTGTTCCTGAGCATTTCTTGGTGCTCTTAATTCTGCACATATCTGCAGCTAATGGCTCTGTCAGCAGGATAACCCTCAGTGGTTTAGCAGAGTCTTTAAGCGTGCTCCAGCCCCACTCTGCAGAGACAGACACCACATAAGTAGAGCTTTCTTCACACTGGCCTTTTAGACTGATCACAGCAATGACAGCCTAGGAGAGATCAGTTGACTATGCCTGGGACTAGGAAGGCCTTCTAGCCCAGAGATCTGCTCCAAACAACTGATTGCCTTGGACCCTTTCCGAAAAAGGCTCTGCAGACACGTCTTCCTTCAGTGAACTACCAGAGGTGGAGGCACATTGCCAGAAGAGCCAGCTGCGTTTGGGATTAGATGGCTGGAAAGAAGTCCTCTCCCTGTCTTCAAAACAAAATCACTTTTTAACATCTGCTGCAGAGAGTTCCCATGACTTGTGGTTCCACAAGAAACTGTTCTCTTCCTTCTCTTTCCTGTTTCTTTATTAATTAAGGTTATTTTCCTTCCCCTCCCTCACCCATTGTGTCTCCATATATGTTTCCTGCTGGTTAGGAGGAGGGGTGGAGTGTACTTTTCCTATCCATTCAGTGTTTTTCTGACTCTTGAAGTCTCATGATTACTGCAGCAATTTTGCACTCAGCAAGGTGAGCACACCCCAGATAACCTGGTAAGATCTGCCTGCACTCAGAAAATTGCTTGGAGAGAGGACTTCTTCACTAAGCTTTTGGTTTATTGTTATTTCAGTGCTAAATGAATAATGAGAAGGTTTAAGTAAACAGATGGGTTTGATTCAAGCCCATCATAACAGGGGTGTGGGGGGAGAGGAGCTGCTTGTCCTGACAGCTCATCTCATTAGGCCACACATGGGGTGAGGTGTTGAAAGCAGTTTATCACATGTAATGTCTGGGCATGATGGGGTGAGCTGGGGATCGAGTGTATCTCTGTCCTCCCCTTAATTCTTAATGTTGCAAAAGGTTTCCTGTAGTTCTTAGATAGGTGCAAACTAAATACATACATCTTGGTATATTTGAAGTTATGTTACAAAAATCACCTCTTCTTTCTGTTTCTTCCACAGTCTCAGCTGCCGGCGATGTATTATTGTGGGAAATGGTGGAGTACTTGCAAATAAGTCATTGGGGTTAAAAATCGATGACTATGATGTTGTTGTCAGGTGAGTCTTTGGCATCACAGTTTTTTGTCATATAGCTTCAGTATCAGTTCCCATGCTATGCAGGCAACCTAATCTAGTGATAATATCCATTTGTATGGAAACATTAACTAATATGGAGGGGAAAAAACCCCAAGAGCATATGTTTGTTATAAATGGTGATCACGTCAAAGGGTAAAGGCACTCCTCAAGCATTCCGTTTTCCACAGGTGTTTAGGAATGTGGTCTCTCCTATGATCCCACTTGAATCTGCTCTTCATACCTTCTTTCTAAAAGCTACTGCTTTTGTGATGCCCTTAGGTGATGAAGCTGTAAAATGTACTGTTAGATCTGCTCCCAGATGTATCCCCTAGGTACCTTAGGGAAGCATTATACACGTGTAGTGGTCCCTGAGGACTACACGTTGCAGTTAGGATGGGAAGAAATAAATGCTGCAGTATAGAGTCTTAGGAAGCAATAACCTTTCATGAGTGAGGACCCAGTAATGATTAAACACCTATAGGTGTGCCCTAGAAACTGTGGATACTTTGCCCGTTTCACTGAGGATGATGGGATGATGATGTTGAGTAAGGGAGCAGAAGCAGTGTGGCATAGGAATGGAAGGAACCACAGTGAAAGTTAGGACTTCGTGTTTTTGCTGAAGACCTGTATTATTGCCATCTCAGAATGACTGAAAAATGTGCCGATATGTGAAATCACAGGTCTAATCATAACTCTTAGTAATAAATCTGTCAAGTCAGGGAGGTGTTCTGGGTGACTGGAGATTAACAAACGTAATAGCTATACTAATGGAGAGTGAGAGAGTGTGTAGGAGGGAGGGGGGACATGCTCTAGGGAGCTACAAACCCATTAGTCTAACTTGGAAAAAAACACAGGGCTCTATAGCAGGTTCTGAGTCATGAGTAACAAAATACTATGATGGTAAATATGAAAAGTGGGATAAACTGCAGTGTAAGTTTATAAAAGCTGGTTTAACATAGTCTAGGTTGTTTTTTTAACTTAGTTAGATAACTGATTTTGTATTAAAGGGAGTGTAGCTGATATCATCTCTCTGAACTTTAGTCAACCATGAGACATGGTGGCAAATAGCAAATTCTTCACTAAGGTGGAAGAAAGAAAGGGATTAGTAAAAGAATTTAAGGCACAGTGAAGATATCATTTAGCATGGTCTCCTTTCTCTCCCATGTGCTAGTAATGGGCACATGAGGAAAGAATAGAGCATACACATAGTAATAAATACCCTCTAACTCCAGACAAAAAGACTAAGAAGATCCCTTTCAGTCCTTTGTTCATGTGAACAGTTCCCTGCTTCCCAGCAGAGCTCCAGACACAAGAATGACTGTTCAGAAGAGGATGAAGCTTTCATAGCCCTTCTCCTAGTTCATCCCACTATTAGTTGACGGCAAAGAGCTCTTACTACCCGTCATAGTCTGGTGACTTCCAGTTACTTGAGCTGAACTAAAATTCAGTTACAGTTTTTTCTTGGGCTCAGACTGTTCAAAAAGTAGCAAGAGAACAATTTCAATCCATCTGGACTAAGCCACCCACTAAGATTTACATCAGAAAGTCCACTATTTAATTTCCAAATGAAAAGTTCAACCTTTTCTCCCCACATCAGTAAATCTAAATCAGTTTGCAAGCTGAGAGGATAAGAGGGCAGCTAAGCACCTGTGCTGTTTGTGGGATGGATAAAAGAGAGAAAAGTCAACTGTAAAGGTTAAATGAAGCCAGGTGCTTGGACGTGGGATTGCAGAGGAGGTGAGAATAGACTTCTTAAATGTATCCAACTGCTTCCTAACTCCTGTGGAAGCTGGAGAATTCCCTTGGGTTACAGCATCTTATTTCATGGGTTGCAAAATGCTTTCCAAGGATCAGATTTTGGGACCTAGGAGGTGAATTTTGAGGGGGAAACTGTGGTACATTTGCAGCCACAGGAGTGGTTGGGCAGCATGTGGGGTTTTTTTATGCCTCATGTATTACCATGTGAGGATTGCTAATTGCAGCAAGAAATTTTGATCTTGTGGTGAAGAGATACCGATCAGCTTTGACAGTTGTAAACCAGTTTGGAATGAGTTAGTTACTGTTTTTCTTTAACTGGATATTATCAGATTTCAGTGCAGACATTATTCCCAGCTGTCACACTGATTACCTGGCAGGAGCTTCTTGCAGCAGTCAGTCATCGGTGTTCTAAAATGCCTCCTTGAAATAGATTGTAGACAGGCGAATAACAAGTGTATGTCAGAAAATATCTGGTTAAAATGAGATAGGAATTGACCTGATGATGGTACTTCAGTGATATCTGAGAGGGTCTTTGTGGTGCAAAGGTTAGGAGTTAGTGTCTCTAAGCTCCCTATGTTGTCAGCAGGCACAAACAGAAAACCAATCTGAAATTCCTTATGTAAAAAACTGCCTGTCTGTGGGCAGTATGAGGAGGCCTGGCATCCTAGCTGACATTTTCTAAGATTTAGCTGTGTTTCTAACCACCAGCAAGTCCTGCCTGAGGAGGGGTTCAAGCTGTGTAGTGTGCACCTTTGTGAACACAGGTTGTGGCTGCCAGAACATTTCCTGCTCCATTGCCTGCGCTACCCCTGGGGCATTGCCCATGGGGCTGACGGTGCTGGCTCGTTAGCAGGGCTCCATCACTAGGACTCCATCAGCAACTTACACTCTGGCCCTTTGCTGGAGACCTGAGTTCATTTTACTTGGGGAAATGATTTGTTTTGCTTCCTGTCTAGATACTAAGGGGGTCCCAAGTTTGAGGAGCTTTAACAAGGTAAGCATGAAAACGGCAAACCCAGCAAGTAGGGGTGGGGAGAACCCTGCCAGAGAGCTATACGTTGGCATTTAAAATGACTGCAGACACTAACCTCCTCAACTTCAAGACAACAGATGAAAAATATGTCTAACTAGTTTTCTCTACATAGTACTTCATCGTATATATCTCTGTTACCATTAGAGCCGCATGCCATTATGTAGGGTCATCTACCCCAGAGTGATGCAAAGCCTTGAAGTTTAAATAATGCCCATAACAGAAGTGAGTGATGTGTGAATGCACTGTCAGCAGCAGAGGAAAAAGCGAAGGATCAGGCTGGCTGGGAGCACTGTTTTTGCAGGCAGTCAGGTCTAGATACCTCAAAGTCAAGGCACAAAGCAATGGTTTATAAACCACAAAAAAAGGCTTCATCTCTTGTATAAATTGTGGTGGTGCCAAGTTTGAAGTTGTTTTCCCTTTAATGTTTTATTCCTAACAATGAAACAAGCATTTTTACTAAAAAATACAAAGGAATTTATTCTCCTTTATTCTGAATAGAATTTCAGATTGGGTACAGTGATTTCCTTCTACTGAAAGGTTTCCCACCTAAACTGCTTACCCAGGCTGAAAAAGAGAAATTCAGATTCTCATTAACATTCCTACACAGCAAAATTTGCAGTCCATAAGCACTTTCCAGTATATTGAACTACCCCAAGTCAAGAAGGCTGCAATAATTCAAGCAGGCAATGCTGTTCCATCAGGGGCTGCTGTTTGATGTCAGCAAGATTTGTATTCCAAGTTACATGAAGTTTCCTCAGCTTTGGGTTTCTAGTTTAGAATAGAAGTTCTGAATAACTTCAATGTTATGAAAGTCATCATTGCTGTTAATGCCAGAACAGTTTGTTTTTTTGAAGGGGAAAAAACTTTGTCCCTGAGGAGTGTTTTACAGAAGCACAGCTAAATACATAGCGCTCCCTTAGAAATCACTGTGCCCAAGAGCAAAGCTGTGTGTGCTTGGGTGTTTTCAGACTGTGATGTACTTCCATAGCAGAAAGCCCTCTGAGTTAGCAAGACTGCAGTGGTTCTGAGCCTTACCCAGCTATGCAGCACAACCCCTTCCTTTGCATTGGCATTGCAGGGCAGCTTCTGCCTTCCGGATGGACTGGTTTGGGGAATTAAACCAGGTGAAGATTCTTCCTTTGTTGTTGTTTTTTTTTAATTATTAGCTGGTTTAGTTTCCTAAACAATCTCACTGCAGGGAAGATGAGCAGTAGAAGCTCTGGACTGAGGTTGGAGCATGAGACCAGTTTCAGTTTGCTTAAACTGCCATGTTTGACCAGCCTCACCTCCATCCCTGGAAAGGTGATGGAACAGCTCATCCTGATTGACACCTATAAGCATGTGGAGGAAAAGAAGATAGTCAACATGGATTCACCAAGGGGAAATCATGCTTGACCAGTCTGATAGCCTTCTGTGATGGAAAGTCTGGCTGGATAGATGAGGGGAGAGCAGTGGATGTTGTCTACCATGACTTCAGCAAGGCTTTTGACACTTGTCTCCCATAACATCCTCATAGGTAAGCATAGAGTCTAGAAGTTGAAGTCTAGAGGTGGTCCCCAGTGGTTATTACTGGGTCCAGTCTTGTTCAACTTATTCATCAGTAACCTGGATGAGGGGACAGAGTGTACTCTCAACAGGTTTGCTGATGGTACAAAACCGGGAGGAATGGCTGGTACACCAGAAGGCTGTGCTGCCGTTCAGTGAGACCTGGACAGGCAGAGACGAACTTAATGAATTTCAATAAAGACAAGTGTAGGGTCCTGTACCTAGAGAGGAATAACCCCATGCACCAAAGCAATGATAAAATATTAATGCTTAGTTTGTAACTCTAAGTTGCAAGGACAATGTTTTTCCATTTCCTTTTCTAAAGCTTCCAACCTTATTTAAATCACAAGAGTGGATATGCAGAAATGGTTTGCATTGCATTCAATGTAATAATTTAAATAGCTTCTAATTAAACCGTTGTGACTTGGTATAAAGCTTCACAAATGTTTGTGATGAAGAGCTGCAAGAGTTAATGTTCGCTGCTCTGACAGCTGTGTACAGGGAGCTTTTGCCCAGCAGTCATTGCTCTATCATCAACATGCGTGAGTGTAAGTGGGAATTCATGACAGTGTCTTCTCTGGTTGCCCTGCAGGCTGAACTCTGCACCAGTGAAGGGCTTTGAAAAAGATGTGGGTGGCAAGACAACTCTCCGGATCACATATCCTGAAGGTGCAATCCAGAAAATGGAGCAGTATGAGAAGGATTCCCTGTTTGTTCTGGCAGGATTCAAATGGCAGGATTTCAAGTGGCTGAAATACATTGTTTACAAGGAGAAAGTGGTAAGAACTCTGTCAGCTGACACTGTGAAGGTCATTAATTAGAAATGGTGGGCAGATGTGGTATCACAGTCATATTTGCCACATTTTGATCTGAGGAGAGTTCCTCTGTGTGTCCTGCTGCATTTAAGTGATGGGGTTTTTTTACCTCCATGGATTTCAGCTTTAATTAACATATGTTTTACAAAGACATCTCTCTGTAACCTGACCTTGCACCACAGATGAGGCTTTCTATTCAAGATTATGTTAATGTGTACTATGAACAATGAATTTAATTTTTATTTATTTTAAAGAGTATATAAAAGGACTGGGTTTTGTGTGGTTTATGGACTGTTGGGATTTAAGAGCAAAGGAAGGAAAAGAGCAATGGCAGGAGGAAACAGTGGGAGTTTGGAGATAAGGATGTGATGGCGAAGGAGCCAGCACAACTCATTGAAAAGGCTATGATCCAAACTTTATGTGACCTCCTGAATGGCACAGGCCATCCCATTTTGCTGTTATTGTTGCACTGAGATTCATGATTTGTGTTTGAAGTATCACCCAGAAGAACAGTATCATGTCTTAAAACTAACAGACTGAAATGGTAAATCCACTGCTTTCCCCATGTAAATATTTTGTCCCAGTCAGTTGCATTAGTGCCCTTCTAAAGTACCATGGACCTGTTACTAGTCAGGGTTGTTCTCTGTACTTCACCCATCCTAAATGGAATCAGGTTGTGACTTCTCATTAAGCTGATGGCTTGTCTTTATCTGTTGTTATGAAATCTGGAATAAATGCCCTCTATTTGGGTATACTTCTTGTTTTACAAATCGTATATATGTCTTTTCAAGTCTTCTTTAGTGATTTTTCAACACATAATCAGACAAATGGATTAATGTTCAGAGGATGGAATGTTATATCCTGTGTTTAGAGACAGAGAGAGGAGGTTGGCAGCTCACCATATATAGAATGAAAGTCTGGGGATATAATTGTATTCAGTTGTTACATAGATGGCCTTAAGGGCTCATACTTTGCTCTTGTCTCACACTGGCACCAACCTGCAATTGCTTTCCTGGTACCAGACAGATGAAGTTACCTGTCAGCCTCTGGGCAAGCACAAGCACAGGCCTTCATAACATGAATAATTGAGTCAAAAGTAATTTTCTTTGGTTTATGTCACACTCTTGTTGTTCTTTCTGGGCAAGGGAAAGCCCTGGAAGTGTCAGTGTCTTGCAACCTGAAGGCAGTTGTAGGGACTCCTAGCATTTAGTTTGAAGTTCAAAGGATGGATTAGTTTACTTCAAAACAAACTGAATTTCCACCTGATGCTTGTAGTCATGCAGTTGACACTGGATTCTGACATGGTATCCCTTGCTCTTGGAAAAATGCAGGAAGTAGTTTGTTAAAATTTGCTAGAATGCTGGGGAGAGAAAATGCAGTGATCTTAACAGCGTGCTTCAGTGCACAGCTTGCCAGAGAGCAGAAAGAACTCGTGTGTCTTGCACTGCATGTTACTTCAATGGTTTTGTGGTTGGCCTCATTATCCTTCATTCCTTTGGAATAAATACTCCATTATTTTCAGTTTTTGTAGGTGATGTTTTCCAGATCTCAATTCCTGTTGCTCTTTTAAATGCCTGCAATTGATTCATCCTTTTTTTAAAGCAGTGCCCAAAATGTCCAGAGTACAGCAATTAGAGAGGAGCAAACCGCTACTTCATTAGCCTCGCAGTTCTCATTCTTTATACATCCGCTGTTTTGACTGTCTTTTCCACAATGGCATAGGACTGAAAGTGAGTGTCCAGTTCCTTGAGACTCCAGGTTTCAGGAAGAACTGAAAAGCATTATCATTCACAGCTCTGCACCCTGTACTTGTGCTGTTCCTTCTTCCTGCCAAAGAGCAGCACTGTGCACTTGTCTACCAATTCTTTCTTCCAGAACACTTCTTCAATTTGCCAAGTTCTCGTGGCAGAGCTTTCCAGCATACCTGCCATTCTTTCCAGATTCATGTCCTCTGTAGTTCAATAAACATACTTTTTAGTTCATCCTCCAAGTTGATTGATAATGAAAACTAAACAAAGTTGGTTCCTAGGCAGATCCCAAAGTAAGAACATCCTTCCATTTCTACAGTGAAGCCACTGGGAACTCCTCCTAGTCTGTTGGTTTGTGTTTTTTTTTGGCCACTTCTGAAGTTGTAATATTATATGTGGTATCATTAATAACATTTTTTGGCATGTTTGTGAAAATGATATGTCAGAAATCTCACTGAATTCCAGTTCATGTCTTGCTTCTCCCCTGTGATACTTTTTTTTTCCTGTATAAAGAAATACTTTATTTTTTCCAGTTATGATTTGTTCTTGACAAATCCACCTGGGCTGCTACTCAATCTTTGTGGGTTTGGGATTGGAGTTTTTTTCATGTGCTTATAAATAATTAATCCTGATATTCTGAGAATTGAAATCATAAATCAACTTTCTTCCCTTTTTTTGCTTTCTTAAGGTTAGGTACTGCTTTTGTCCATTTTTCAGTCCTGTGACACCTTACCTGTTCTACACAAGTTCCCAAAGGGAATCATTGCTGGGTTTTGAGGCTGCTGAGCCAGTTCATTGACTACTTTGGGATGCAGTCCAGGTGACTGGAAAACATCTGTCTTGTTCTCTCTAGGCTGATCTCTCTCTGTTTGAGGCTGGGATCTTGCTGTCACTGGCTTTAGTTGCAAGCAGGTGGCTAGAACAGCTGGTTTTTTTTTGTGGAAACCAATGCAAAAAGTGCTCTTAGCTAGAAGAAATGACCTGATGGACAGCTAGCAGTGCCCTGGGAATAAGATGTAGGCGTCTGTTTGTTCTGGTAGTGATTGTTAGTATTTTATCAGTATATAGTAAGTTTAAAATGATAAATCCCTGCCCAGTGCTCTCTGTGGAGAGTTTCTGTTTCTCTCTTAGCTCATTTTCCAGAGAAAAGAGTTTCTTCTTTTCCTGAGTTCATCTAGAGGCACTTGCTTGATGTGGGAGCTCTGTATGCCACTGTTGCTTATTCCTTATCTGACATAGGTCTGTCCCTCTGCAAAACCTCATCCCCACTGCAAACCAGTGGTTACAGTCAAGAGTCTGACCTCAGGACAGAGACAGGGGAGATGGAAGCATCCTGCTAAAGAACATGACTGCTGTGGAAGTGGACACATTCCTCAAATAAAATGGGCTGAACTCTCTGCCCTCTGATGATTCATTTGCCCCTGAATGTTGATGGCAGCTGCAGGTGTTGATGGTACAGTCACAGGCTGGGTATGAGATTTCAGACACCAGACCTCAAGCTGCTTAGACCTGCTTGATCAGAGATTCTTGGCCAGGTACTAAGATCCTTGCTTAGTCCTCTTTCAAGTAAGCGAAATCAAAAGGACTTTATCTGAGAGAGTAAATGAAAGGCAAATGGCTATTTATTGCTGGGGTCAGTGATCAGATAAGTTTATTCTCTGTGCAGCTGAGAAGGATTTGCTCCGTCTTATGTTAGTCTTTTGGCAGCACTTGCATAGTGAGGAATGGATAAGTGCTTTGTAGAGAGAAGGATTTTCAGGAGATGTTACAAAGAAAAAGAATCAGTGTGATGCCGAAGCAGCAGCAGAACAGTGAGGCAGAGGATTTTGTGTGTTACATAGAGTCTGGTGCAACAGCCTTCCGAAGATCTGCATGATGCCTCAGTGCCCTGGAAGCCACTGTGTCCTGAAAGAGGAGTAGTTGGAATATGAAAAAAAAAAAAAAAGAAAGTAAAAGCTCATCTGTTTTTTATTTCACACTAAACCAGAAATATCTGGAAGCAAAGAAAAGCTTGAGAGAAAAGATTAATCTAGAAAAAGGACCAGTTTGGCTACATAGTCAACATCAGTAGCAAAATAAAGGTAGTCTCCATCATAGAGTTCTGGGTGAGCTGGCACTCAAATTTGTGAGTCTTGCCACAAGTTAGGGCAGTACTGTATCACTGGGGAGTACAGAGCTGTCTTTAAGAAGGGGAAAGATGGGTGAGTCTGAGCAACTAAAACCCTGGTAATCTGATTTCAGTCATTTGACAAGTTTATTCTAACCGAAGAAAAAGATAATTACACTTGTTGCAAAAAAGGGGGGAAAGGAGTGTGGAATGGCGTAAAGGTGACATGGTTAGCACCATGCTGACTAATATGTCAATATATAAGTGGAAAGGAAGTGGGCTGGAGTCCCACAGCCTGCAGTTGCATGAGCCCATGATTACTGCAGAAGGGTCACAGATGTGGGTTGTTCGTGTGTCTGTGGTGACTGGTCTGGCAGTGTTGACTTGCAGTCATTGCTGTAAGAGCCTGCTGCACTTCCAGGCATCCCTCCTCTGATGAAAGGGCTGTTCCTCGTGCATCCCCAGAGGTGGATTATTCATATACAGTCACTCAGAACAGTTACACTCTCTTCTGGACTTCTCTTTTTGCCAAGAGGCATTACCTGTGTATGTATTGTGACTCACCCTGCTGCTTCTCACTGCTGTACCACCTGGCATCACCCTGGGTCTCTCAGTGACTGAGGGTCTTCCTCAATACCCAAACTACCAGAGGAATTAAAAGGGGAGGGTGGTTTGGCCGTATACTGCACTTCTCTATTAAAATAGTGGTCAAAAAGCTGAAAGTTTATTATGTGGGGAGTAGATACATCCTGAAACAAATGGAAGAATTTATAAATGCCAGTTATGCAAACCAGCCATCACATCCTGGTGCTGAGGCTGACTCCAGGGTGGTTTTCTGCCCATCATTAGTGAATCAGAAGGAGCAGTCTTGTTTGCTGGGACTCACTTCCCCGAACATCTGGCACATGGTGGTAAAGAAGCCAAGTGAGGGCAAAGGTTTAACTAGAAATTGGCAGCTCATAGGCTTCCTTCACATGTAATAATGAGCCTGCGGATGTTTCTAGCAGGAATCTCTGCAGCCTTTGCCAGGAGGAGTCACTTGTGCAGTGAGTGCCTGCGGCACCTTGAAGCTCCCTTTGATAGTGAAAGTCATAGGAGCGAGTGAGCAC